CAACACACATAAAAAGCCCACGTAGCATTCCATCCCCATTTTCTTGCATCAACCCCTCGTCCTCCTCCCGCTCCTTTCCACTAGGACGACATTGGTAGGATACACCTGTTATTGCCAATGTTTCATGTGTTGTATTGTGCTATCGTATTTCAGTTGATCTGAAGAAGGGCTTAGGCCCGAAACGTCATCAGTAAAGTGTTGTGAAAGGCAAGCTTTTTGAATTGCACTCGTTCTGATATTCTTTGACCTTCGTTCTTAACGCGAATTCCTCCTTTAAGACGGAGTGGTCATTAAAAATGCAGTTGTCCTATTTTCCAGCTCATAAGTGCGCTGATAGGACGCTAGGGGCTTCCCGAGACTTCATGGCCACTCTTTTTTCTCATTCGTCAATCAATTATCTGTACACTTATCTGTCAGGGCTGCTGTCTCACTGCTTCAACATGGCCGATTTCCAAGAAAAGTGAGTAAGCTTCGATTTTAGCGTTTTCGGCAATGTTTTTCCTTTTTCCTCCGCTTCTTGTTATCTTCGCCTCCCTGCTTTCGTCCGCAAGGATCAAAGAGGCTCACTCGCGCTTGCGTCATTAATTCGATTTCTTCTTGAGCTGAGAGACATTCTGTTTCATTTTCTAGTTCACATTGTGAACTAATGTAAAAGAAAGTTGGCACTACTATTGTATTTTGTAAGTTGTCCCTAGAGCGTCTCAAGCTCCTTTCATGAATACACTCTGCATTGCGAAACTTTACGTCAGCAACGGACATTTCCAGAGGGGTCGTTGATGCGCGCTGGTGGTCTCATGGAATTGCATCCTGTGGCCAATTGCTCTCCTGAGCTGACAGTGCATTCCCCCGTACCGCACCCCTCTATGCTCTACCCCTCCTTGCAACCTTTACAAATCACTTCAGTTATTGCTTCAGTGCTTATCAATAACTATCCTGCTATTTTATAAACCGCCGACATGGTGTACCCGTTTGTGTAAACTTTGTACACTTCGCAAAAATTTCCGCTACTCAATCTTGAAATCACAAAGTCATACTTCTCGCGTAATTGTCAAATCCAATCTGTCTTTGCGTTCCTGAGAATAACAGTGGGTTCTACTGGATGGCTTTCGCTCCGCCTCATCTTGGAGAGCACAAAGTATTCAATATATTCGTTGTCCACTGTTTTTGACAAATGGTGCGCTCAGGTGTTCTTTTATCGTTCCATTGCTCTTCTTACGTGGTGCTCTCCTCTTGATGCACACCCTCAAGTGTATTGAAATAAATAAATGAATAATGTATGTGGGTATGCGTCTGTCCGTCCGCAAATAAACAAGTAAACAAATTGCTAAGAAAATCGAGGAGCTCGCAGAGCTTGCGCAAGAGTGTGTTCTGCTAGGTCAACTGTGATAACTCTACGGCTATGGAGACACTAATCACACTTCAAGGCAGTCCACATGGTGTTGCGATGGCAGTTATAGGGCAGTGGAGGGAAGAGTGGAGGATGGGGAAAGCGGAAAACAAATCACGAACAGATCTAAGGTCTAGTTAGGTATTGATATGTCATTCGTGTCATGATATGACGATTCCCTCAACTATGTAAAACTTCCTGTTGCGCATAAGTGTTCCGTTCACGAGGTATTGGTGTCACAAGTGGAAGGGACAAAGGCGAAAGAAGCAAAGTTTACGCAGAGAACGGAGGTCCCGGCGGTTCACGGGGGGGGAGGTATTTGGTAATGAGAGCCATGGGAGAGAGGTTAGGATATACAGCCGAACTTTCACCTTGGATGCCTCCAGCTTTTCAGGAATTCTTTTGCAGTTAGGGGTCCAGCGAGCTCAGCCTTTTCGAGTTTTCGAATTTCTAATCAAAACGAAAGCAATACTTCAGTTCTTTTCACTATTATCGTGGATAATGAGTCTCAAGCCAGTGATTTATGGCTGAAATAGAATCATGATTTTTCCGCGCAAGATTCCTTTAAGTTTCGCACACCAGTGTATAACAAATTAGGAAGTAAAAATGCTTCAGTTCCAATGCGATGAGCCCGCATCTCAAACACGGGGTGACATTGCAACTTTTCTTTGGTCTTTCCACCGTTATTCCTTGACTATTTAGCATGAGTCCCGTTTAGAAGTATGCATTTTGTGTTAATCAGTTCCATGGACAACCGTAGTCTAGTTCCAATAATTCCACAATCCTGCTGGCCAAACTGCAGGGGGGTATGAGTTAATGTGAGAAACGTTGCGCACTGGAGACTTCACTAGTGCCCTTGCCACAGAATCCAACTTTCAGTAACTTGATCGCGACCGTTCCAACGTGCAATGATTCCAACATGAAAGTGAAACAAGACATTGTTCACCTTATTTGAGCTCGCTGGACCCCTAACTGCAAAAGAATTCCTGAAAAGCTGGAGGCATCCAAGGTGAAAGTTCGGCTGTATATCCTAACCTCTCTCCCATGGCTCTCATTACCAAATACCTCCCCCCGTGAACCGCCGGGACCTCCGTTCTCTGCGTAAACTTTGCTTCTTTCGCCTTTGTCCCTTCCACTTGTGACACCAATACCTCGTGAACGGAACACTTATGCGCAACAGGAAGTTTTAGTCGAGGGAATCGTCATATCATGACACGAATGACATATCAATACCTAACTAGACCTTAGATCTGTTCGTGATTTGTTTTCCGCTTTCCCCATCCTCCACTCTTCCCTCCACTGCCCTATAACTGCCATCGCAACACCATGTGGACTGTCCTTGAAGTGTGATTAGTGTCTCCATAGCCGTAGGGTTATCACAGTTGACCTAGCAGAACACACTCCCCATCTGGAGTCCATACCTTGTCAAAGACATCCAAAAACTTGAGAAGGTTCAGAAGACCTTTACGAGAATCTTGTTCTACAAAGTTTTTCCGGATATGAATTACCCTACACTCTGCCATCTTATCATGACCGCCTTCTGAAATTGAATTTGAAGAGTCTTCTCCACAGAAGGATTGTTTCTGATCTAGTCTTTGCTTTTAAGATAATCAAAGGCGAGTTACGAATCCGTCCATCGAACTTTTGGATTTTTCGGCCTTCGAGCGGACGTCGAGGCGGCTTCCAAACTTTTGGCCACGCAATGGGCAAATTTCATAAACAGCTTCGGCACAACAGCTTCATTCTACGCACCACTCGGTGGCTGCAGCGTCTACGTTCAAAGTAGCGCTAAAGAAGCTCAATTTATTAGAAGTTCTTGGTATTGAAGACGTATCATAGTCGATGTTCATGTTTCCTGATGTTTCCTGTCGGTCTTCTGTTGTTGCTCAGGTTTAGCAGATTCACTCTTGGGACACTCTTAAATTCTACAGTAAGCGAATCCATCACTGTTGAAGGTGATCCCCTCCCAAAAAACACTAAAACGCGGCTACGACTACTCTAGCCTAAGGATTTGGGAGGATGCGTCGCGGATTCTGTCAAGTTTGCCGGTTCCACGTGGGTGGTCGGCATACCCGTGTCTCGAAGTTCCGGTAAACTCCCATGACCCCTCAAGTGGCGCAAGGGCACCATGGCCGACTGGTGCTGACTTAAACTGCAATGCTAATCCCAAAGAGTTCTGGCTTGAGTCTTCGTAGCTTCGTGTGACTTCGTTTGCGTGAGCACACATGATGCCCTTCCTTGTCCCGTTCGCCGAGGGAAGCAGCTTGCCTGAACAACTTCTTCTCTTCTTTTCCTCACTCAGTAGTCCTTCTTTGCTGTTTATTTCATTTTCATTCTTTTTCATAATTTTTACTTGCAATGTCTTAATAGCTGCCATTATAATTATCAGTTTATGTTATAGTTTTTTTCTATTCTTTCTGAGTCATGCAGTCAGTCCCGCTTTGCCTGTTGTAGCTGGCGCGTCATTGTACGCATTATAAATAAATAAATAAATAAATAAATAAGTAAATAAATAAATACACCCCCACACACAGCGCTATGCAAAATCCCCGACTCAAGAGATCGAATCTCAGAAAGGATCAGGACCGTAAGGGATCAGATACATGAAGCCACACACGGTCAATAGTCAATAGTCGTCGCCCGGAGTGTAGCTATACGCTACCTTGTATATATGTGGTTAGAAAAACTGTTATTAGCATTTTGAATAATTACTTTAGAAATCATTGACACCGTAATATTCTTAGTGTGCTTTCAGAACATGTTTTTGTGCTTGCCAGCTGCCGTTGAGAAGACGCCTTTTTGAAGTCACAGCTGCACATGGAGACTGTCGGCACTCAGTATATACGCCTCCCATAGATACAAATTCCACAACGCACAATACCTTATAGCTAAACTGCTATCATCAATACAATACTTCCGGCTATCACTTGCCACAAAACAACACATACAGACAGAGAGCGACTCCGTCATCTCGAGAGAAACATAAAATCCCCCCAATAGTAGCTTTCTTATGAACACCTAATTCGATCACTAATCTCTACCAAGTCATAAAACACACCACAGCCATTAAGCAGACCCAACACCCCCAAACAACCCTACTTCCACGCATATATTCTGCGACACTCTCTCGGCTCCTGATCAAACCTATCCTACAACTCGAAGCCCATCTCAGCTAAAGTCGTACCTTAGAATACTTCAGTTCAATAAATAATTACTATAATACCAGCATTCCCATCATAACAAATTATACATACAACACAACAGTCATAACATACCCCCTATAAGAGAGAGAAAAATAACAAGAATAGTAAGCGCGCTCAATACACACCCCCCCAACGGCCTACACACACCCTAACCACCAACTCAGTGACACAGTTCTGCCTGTTAGGCAGACCTGGTATAGCAGGCCCAGGTGCATTTGGCTGGGGTGCGTTTGGCTGGGGCGCATTTGGCTGCGCCGGCTGATTCACCCCCGGTATATTAGGCAGACCTGGTATATTTGGCAGACCTGGTATGTTTGGCAGCCCTGGTATTGCAGGAGCTGGTGCGTTTGGCTGGGGCGCGTTTGGCTTGTGCCGGCTGGTTCAGTCCTGGTATATTAGGCAGACCTGGTATGTTTGGTAGACCCGGTATATTTGGAAGGCCTGGTATGTTTGGCAGGCCTGCAACAGGCACAGGTACAGGCACAGGTACTATGGCCGGTACAGGCTGTACTGCTGGTATAGGCTGTACGGCCGGCACTGGTATAGGCTGTACGGCTGGTACTGGTATAGGCTGCACAGCCGGTATAGGCTGTATTGCCGGTATAGGCTGTACAGCCGGTACAGCTGGCACTGCCGGCACGGCCGGCACGGCCGGCACAGCCGGTATAGCAGGTACAGCCGGTACGGCTGGTACTGCTGGTATACCAGGTACTCCGGGCATCATTGGAACTGGAGGAAGGCCAGGTACAAATGGTACTCCAGCAATGGGTGGGACACACCGGAAAGCATGGAAAACACATTGTTGGAGTACAGATGAATTTTGCCTTTTTAGGAGGAGCGGGCGAATGGGGTTCTAAAGTGGTCTCATTCAGCATCGTATTTGGTTCTTCTTCAGATTCTGAAACAGATTCAGGCAACGTGCTAACTTCTACTTCGGGGTCTGGAGGACTGCCATTTGACGTGACGGCATCTTCTTCTGACTCTGCAGGAGGTTCAGCAGACGTTACGATTCCTTCCTCTGATTTTGGAACAGTTTCAGCTGTCGTGGCAACTTACTCCTTCAGATTGTGAGAGAATTCCAGCAGTCGTGTCCCCGTTCGCGATCTCACGTCTCTGAAATTTGAGAAGATATCTGTTGGGTTTTTGTCAAGTTTCATGATTGCTTCGAACTTTGCTTTTAATTACGTTAGAGGCACCCGTTTGCGGACACAACACATTCGCCCCACTGAGTTGTAATTCGAGGTTAGGGGAGCGTGCACAAAGAGACGGAAAATGAAGCTCATGGTCATGCTATGACCAGAACGGCAAATATTAATAGGAGTCCAATGTGTAACTGGGAAAGGGAAATTAAAAAAAGGAGGTGCAACAGAATTTGAAGAGTGCTTACCCATTTTGGAAATGCAAAGGTTGTCCCTGCAACTGCCACAAGTAGTAAGATGATGCCGAGACGCATCTGGAAAGGATCTACATTGGCTATGCAATCACTGTATTCATTAAAATCATTTACTGTTAATCATCGCATAGATGCTACTACTAGAGAATAGCGGAACTTAAATTGCAAGCATAAAAGCTTTATCGAAATTTCAGGCTAGCATTAGTGAGTTCTCTTCAACAAGCTACATGGTTAAGCATTAAAAGAGCGAATGAGAATTGACAAATGCTGTTATACTTGTACGACTCTTATACTGCAGCCATTCAATGCGGCGACAATACATGATTTTTTCTTTCCCGGGATATTTCACGTAGACTCCAAATTTATTTGATCAGGGGAATTAGCTCACCAAGGCAGCACCATTGCTTCCGAAAGGGCGAAAGCTCTCCTGAAAATGTTTGCTTTTACGACATCTCTTCTACTGCAGGTATTGAAGTAACAACGCTCAGCAGCAATTGTTTTTGAGAATACTTTTAAGGGAGTATACAATGAGTAGCGGCGTTTTTCAGAACATTGGGGAGACCGCTGCAACAACAGCGGTAATTTTGTGCCGAGTACTATAAATATATACTAGAAGCTTAGGGCATGTAAGCCGCTCTTCATCCTGTAGATATCAAAGTTTAGCAAGCTTGCGCTTGCGTAGTAAAGACCATCATTGGCAATCGTTGGCATGCAAGTATTTAGTGTGCCTATCAAAATAGGGAACACTTGAGAACAGATTGGCTTTGAAATACCTCCTTCGCTCCCTTTGATAATGCCCCGTCTGCGTTAGCTTTTTTTTGCAAGACACCACCATCTGCAGTAGTCATCTTGCCCATACACAACCTACCGCAATTTTTCCCTCTAAAGAGTTTGAATTTGGAAGATCTGCTAAACTGTTTTTGAGAAGTCTTTATCAAAGTTAAGGTCAAAGTTAAAGAAACAAACTTATTTAATTCAATAAAATAATTTTGTTTAGTACAACCTAATATTACTTGAACCTCTTCAAATAAATTCGAAGGGGTGCGAGTAATATGAGCTTGTACGAAAGGTCTTTGGCCATTTGTTGATTTTTCTCAAATTCTCTTTCCTCTTCTAACCCAGTCAGCCACAATTATATGCTCCATCATGTTCATCCAACATATTGTCTTTCAGCAGGTGGCTTATTTTCTGCTCAGAAATTCTGAATTTCGAGGCAAGTGACTCAAAAAAGTCCGCTTTTGAGTAGTCGGGATCATTAAGCTC